ATCAGTGGGCATATTACAAATGTCCCAAATCCTGAAGAAATCCAAATCAGAAGATTCAATAAGAAATCTCCACACTGTTTGGAGTAGAAGGGGAAATGTGCTGGGGAGTGATACTGGTGAAATTGTATTGTTATATTGTGGGCATATACAAATATGTAACAGCAAATCCCATCAATATGTACAACTATAATGCACCAATAAAAAAGTGGAAAAAAGTCTCTACCTCAACATGAATTATCATAAATAGTTTTAATATCAGTTTTTGATCTTGTAGGCATTTCTTTTCATATAGAATTGATAAATATTCCCTTATTATTCAGTATCACACCACTGAACTCACCTGATTATATTTTTTCTACTAGTTTAAAGTAACTAGAATCATTCTTTTTTGTTTCCCTATAGCAAATTTATATGTACTTCTCAGTCATTTCTTTCCACCTCTTGCATTATCTGCTTCTGCCTCATCCAACCCCTACACTTTCCTCCTTTTTGTCTTAGTTTGTTATTTTTTACTGTCTTTTCACTCTTTTCCCTTCCCATTTTCTCTGCATCCCTTTTTCCCTATATAATGTAATAGTAATTTTATTACCTTTAATAACTAGTTTCTCAACCTATTCAAGAACTGTACTACAATTTTATGACAGATTAGAAGAACTGTGGAGAACATTTTCAGTAAGTTTTTCCCTACTGTTTATTAGAACATGACTTTGCTTTTAAATGATTGCAGTTAATAAAGTTTTAGTACCTTTTGTTAAAAGTGATGCCAAAGCTGGGCATAATAAGGAAGACACATTGAGTACGAGTACCAATACTTGTATATATACCTAGTCTGGGGCACTTGAGAAAAAGAAGATCAAAAAATATTCCCTTACATAAAGTAGAAGAGAAAATCATCCCAGCAGATAGGTAGACATACAAAAGAAAAATATTAAAAGGCAAAGGAACAAACCACCCTAAACAATCTATAACCCTGCAACAGTTAATTCCATTTATTCCACAGTGTAGGAAATGTCAGATAAAAATTTGAGAAAGTTAATAGTTAAAATGCTCAATGAGCTAAAGAAGATGTAAGAAATGAACTAAGAGATAAAATACAGGTAGTGAAAGATAATTTCAGTACAAACGCATTCTGAAAAGAAATCAAATAGAAACCTTGGAAATGAAAAACTCAATAAATCAAATTAAAAATTCAGTTGAAATACCATCAATAAATTAGAAAACATAGAAGATGGATTGTCAGACCTCAAAGACTGAATATATTATCTTAAAAATAGTCAATAAAGAAAAAAATGTTAAGAGACCATAACCAGAACACTCAAGAAATCTGGGGTAGCATTTAGAGACCAAATGTAAGAACCATTGACATAGAAGAAGGCATCAAATTTCTAACTAAAGGAATGCACAATCTTTACAGTGAAATAATATCATAAATTTTTCCAATCCTTAGGAATGTAACAGAAAGAAAAATGTACAGTGCATACAATCATCTCCATAGATTTAGGCAAGATCAAAAACATCCTCTACAAGATACATTACAATTAAAATGCCTAATATACCAGACTAAGGATACAATTATAAAAGGCAGAAGAGAAAAATAGCAGGTCACATTAAGAAGTAAACTAAATAGAATTTCTACTGATTTCTAAGGTTAGATGCTAAAATCCAGGAGGGCTTGGAATAATATATTCCACACACTGAATGATAACAGTTGTCAAACAAGGTAGCCAAGCCCAGAAAACCTATCCTTAAGAATTAAAGTTAAAACCAAAATCTTTCATAAGTAGAAATTAACAGAATTCATGACTAATTGACCACCGAACCAGCACTCTGAATAATAATGATAATGATAATAATAATAATAATAATAATACTTAAAGATATACTACACAAAGGGGAGAGAAAAACCCCAAAATGAATGAGGCTTTCTAGAATATCAATAATAACTAAATAATTAATACCTAATTAAATATAGCAAACAAACAGAAATGGTAGCAAATAACAAACATTTGTTCATAATAACATTGAATGCAAATAGTCTCAACTCCCCCAATTAAAAGACAGATTGGGAGGCCCAGTGAGTGGCACATGCCTGTAATCCCAGCAACACAAGAGGCTGAGACAGAAGGATGGCAAATTCAAATCCAGCCACAACAATTCAATGAGACCCTCAACAATGAAGTAGATCCTGAATCAAAATTTAAAAAGTAAAAAGACCTGGGGATATAGATCAGAGATAAAATGTCCCTGGGCTCAATTTCTACTAGACATCTGGTTTGGATATGAGGTCTCCCCCAAAAGTGTGTGAGACAATGCAAGAAGGTTCAAGGAGAAATGATAGGATTGTGAGAGTCTCATCCTAATCAGTGAATTAATCCCTGAGGAGATTAACTGAGTGGTAACTGGAGGCCAGTGGCCTATGGCTGCAGGAAGTGGTTAATTTGAGACATGGCTCGGGGGTATATATTTTGTGTCTGGAAAGTGGAGTCTTTCCCTCTGCTTCTTGATCACATGATATGAGCTGCTTCCCTCTGCCATGCACTCTGCCATGATGTTCAGCCTCATCTCGAGCCTCAAGAAATGGAGCCAGCCTTCTATGGACTAAGACCTCTGAAATTGTGAGACTTCAAAAAAACTTTTCCTCCTCTAGTTTTTCTGGTCAGCTTCTTTAGACAGAGCAGCTAAAAAGCTGACAAAAACACCATCCCCAGAAAAAAAAAAGACAGAATTCATTGGAATAATGGGTTAAAAAAGAACATCCAGCTATATGCTTTTTGAAAAAGACTCAGACACAGACATCCACAGGCTGAAAGTAAAAAGATGCATTCTATGTAAACAACATTAAAAAAAAAAGGAGTGGTAGTTATTCCCATATCTTACAAAGTGGAAATATGCAGTAATTAATCAGAAGAGCCAAAGAAAGTTACTAAATATGGGTAAATGGAATAATTCAACAGAAAGGCATGTGATAGTAAATATTTATGTCCAAATGTCAGTGCAGTTAATTACTTAAAAAATATTACTTTTTGATGTTAAAACCACGGTGGACCCCGATACAATACTGGGTGACTTCAACACATCCCTTTCCACCAGTAGAAATGTCATCCAGGCATAAGTCCAAAAATATATTTATAACCTAAATAATAATATAAATCAAAAATAGACCTAATAGACATCTACAAAATATTTCATCAAAATCAACTAAATTATTCTTCTTCTCAGAAATTCACAGAACTTTTTTCCAAACAGATCCTATTCTAGGTTGTGATGTAAGTCTTAGCAAATACAAAGAAATAATTGACATAATTTCATGTGTCTTATAAGATAATGATGAAATGGAATTAGAAATCAACATCAAGAAAAATTATAGAAAACATATAAGTACATGGAGATTAAAAACACTCTTTAAAATAAGGAATGTATGAAAGAAGAAATCAAGAAATTCTTAGAAACAAATGAGAACAGAGATATATATGCATATTTAATTTTCTGGGACAGTATGAAGGTAGATTTAAGAGGAATATTTGTAGGACTGAGTGCCTGTATTAAAATTTTAAAAAAGAGAGAGAGAGAGAGAAAGATCACAAATAGATAATCTAATGTTATACAACATGATCTCAGAACGGAAAGAACAAACTATTTAAAAAATAGAAGACAAGAAATAAAATCAAAGCCAGAATAGACATAATTGAGAACAATTAAAACAGAAAAATATACAAAGAATAAATGCAATAAAGAGATGTTTCTTTAAAAAGATAAACAAGATTGATAAGTCCTTGGCCATCTTAGCCAAAGAAAAAGCAAGAAGACTGCAATCAAGAAAATTAGATATTGAAATGGAGATATCAGCATAATAACTTCTGAAATCCAAAGGATTATTAGAAACTATTATGACTATTCATACCCTATCTGGAGTAAACTGGAAAATTGAGAAGACATTGACAAATTTTTATATACACATGATATGCCCAAATTGAACAAGGAAGGTGTAAAAAAAAAAAAAAAAAAAAACTAAACAAACCAATATCAAGCAATGAGATTCAAGTAGCAATTAAAAACCTTCAAACAAAGAAAAACCCAGGACCAGACAGATTCGATCCGGCATTTAAAGAAGAACTAATACTAGACTTCCTCAAATCATTATATGAAATAGAAATGGAGGGTATACTCCCAAATACACTCTAAGAACCCAGAAATACCCTGATTCCAAAAGCAAACAAAGGCACATCAAGGGAAGAAAACTACAGACTAATGTCCCAGATGAACCTAGATGCAATCATCCTTAATGAAATATTATCAAAGAAATTCAAACCTTTCAAGAAGATAGTATACCATGATCAGGTGAGTTTTATCCCAGGGATGAAAGGTCTGTTGAACATGCAGAAATTGATAAATGTAGTTAACCACATAAATAGAGTTAAGGACAAGAGTCATACAATCATCTCAATAGATTTGGCAAAGGACTTTGATAAAATCCAGCACCCATTCATGTTAAAAATTCTGGATAAACTAGGAATTAACCTCAATATTATAAAGTGTATATATGACAAAATCATATCCAATATGATATTGACTAGAGAAAACCTGAAAGCATTTTTTCTTAACTCAGAAACAAGACATAGATGCCCACTTTCAACATTAATATTAAATAGATTAAAAAAAAAACTCTAGCCAGAGTAATCAGGTAAGTTAAGAAATTTAAAAGATACAAATAGGAAAAAAAGAAGCCAAGATATCTCTGTTTGCCAATGACATGATCCTATGTCTAAAAGACCCAAAAAAACCTCTATCAAACCTCTAAAGCAATAAGGAAATTGAGCAACATTGTAAGATGTAAGATCAACCTTCATAAACCAGCAGCTTATCTATACTTCCATAGTTATTCTGCTGAGAAAGAAATAAAAATATACATGTACCTTATTCATGATAACATTAAAACATAAAATAAAATACTTAGGAATTAAAACAAGGAGGAGAAAGACATCTATAATAGAAACTATATTGTACTCTCTTTGGCAGCACATATACTAAAATTGGAACAATACAGAGAAAATCAGCATTGCTTCTGCACAAAGATGACACACAAATTCACGAAATGTTCCATATTTTTACAGTGGAAAGTACTGGATAATACTGATTCTGGAAAAAAAACACAAATATATTATTCCATCTCCACATAGTAAAAAGCATACTTGCACAGTATTTTGTACTTGTATGTCATTTTATTAAAATGGTGGGGTTGAAAAAAAAACTATAGAATACCAAAGAAAGAAACTGAAGATGAAAAAACCTCACACTTCTTCTTAGATCGGCAGAATTAATATCATCAAAATGACCATGCTATCAAAAGCATTATACTGATTCAAGGCAATCTTCATCAAACACCAATTACATTCTTTACAGTAATAGAAAAAGCAGTCCTAAAATTCATTTGGAAGAGTAAAGGATCCAGAATATCCAAAGCAGTCTTGAACAAGAAGAGCAATGCTGAAGGCATCACAATACCTAAACTCGAATTATACTGCCGAGCTTTAGTAAAAAACAAACCAACAAACAACAGCATGGTATTGGCATCAAAATAGACATGAAGTAGAAATGAAGGCCAGTGGGATAGGACTGAAGTCACAGAAACCATCTCACATGGTTAGTTATCTAATGTTTGATGAGAAAGATGCTAAAAGTAAACATTGGAAGAAAGATGGCTTTTTTAGCCAATGGTGCTGGAAAAATCCAAAAGTAGAAGAATTAAACTAGATCTTTATCTCTCACTCTGCACAAAATCAAATTAATATGAGTCAAATACTTAGAAATTAGACCAGAAACTTTTTAACTACTAAAAGAAAACCTAGGGTCAACACTCCAACATATTGGTGCTGGCACCAGCTTCCTTAACAAGACCCCTAAAGTTCAATAAATACAGCCAATAATTAACAAATGGGACCACATCAAATTAAAAAATCTTGTTTCACCTTCATTGAATGCCCAGTATCACCTACCATCATTATTTCTTTTTCTTCTTTCAAATAACTTGCCATTATCACTCACTTTGTAGAAATCTAAACAAGACTAGACTAATATAGAAGTCTTGGAAGTATGGGTTTTGGACTTCCAATTGTTATGATATAAGAAATGGCCTGTTCTGGAAGATAATCCAGTGCAGGCAGTATTTGATGTGATGGAAGTGTACTTCCTATAAGAAATAAAATAAAATAATTATTTTATTATAAAACAATAAATAATAAAAATAATATTATTTATTATTTCATAATAAATAAAATCACTAAATATTTGTTTAGTTAATAAGTGGTTAAAATTACTAAAGTAGACTTCATTGAAGAAATGGTGTCATGTAAGAATCTTGAACTATTTTTGAAGATCTTCTTTAAAGAAAAGTCAAGTTGGAAGCTTTGTGTATCAGCTGGCATTTTCTGTGTAACAAACCACATTTTGGGTTTTAAAAATAAACTTTAAATTTTCTCACAATTCTGTGGGTCAACACTTTAGTCTGAGCTAGTTCAACTGAGAAGTTCTGGTCTGATCTGAGTTCACTCATGCAATTGGTCATGTATCACAAGCCTCAGAGTTGGTTTTTCTTTGATGTCTTCAGCTGGGGTGGTTCAACTGTGCTCCATGTGGTCTCTCATCCTCTAGCCTGCTGGACTTAACTTGTTCTCTTGGAAACATATCAGGTTTCTAAGAGAGTAAGAGTAGAAAATACACAAGATCTTTTGGTGGGCAGGTTACAAAATTTATATGGTATCCAATTAATGGAAAACTATTGGTTAATGTAGGTCACAGGTCCAAATATCATTCAAGAAGCAGAGAAACTAAAAACAAACCAAAAAAAAAAAAGAAAGAATAAGAAAAAACTGAATCAAATTCAGGGTTTGAATAGAGGAAAGCCTGAAGAATCATGATCATTTTTATACTGCAAACTACTGCAGGCTGCTAATTGATTCAGCAAATATTCAAGGCTATGTATACAGGAATGTTGTTTATAGGTTTGAGGATCACAGAATGTTGCAGATTAGTTACATGAAAATAGTCTTAGTCTTCAGAGTTAGGTAATATTGGTTTATAGAATCTTGTCAGAATTTAAGATGTAAATGTAGGTAAAGATAATCTTTCTCAAACTCTTCGTTTCACAGATAACAAATAATTGATGCAGCAATGTGAAGTGAATTTTTCAAGATCTTAAATTCATCATATATGTGAAAATGGGATTGAAACTTTACTCATATATTTATTAGACTAGGCCCTTGAATATCAAGGAAAAATCATTTTGATTTATCTGGAGGACTTAGAAGATTTATTTTTAAGTTAGAGGTCTATTTGTGTGTGTGTGTGTGTGTGTGTGTGTGTGTGTGTGTGTGTAAGGTATAAGCATGCACACACTACACACACTGTGTGCACACCCTCACAATAGAAAAAGGAGGTGTAAGAGTGATATTTTGCATAGCCTTTTTTCCAATTTTTTAATTTGTCTCACCTCCTAATTTCTATCATACCCTGAGCAGAAATTATTCCCAGAGCTAATTCATACATATACTGTTTAACACATGCCATCTGCTTCTGAAACCTGTGGCTACACACAACAAGTGTACTGTTAGATAAGTAATTTCTGATATCCTCGTAGAATAAATGAAACTACTGTGCTTCTTCAGGAAAAATAAAAACATTTATCATTTTCAAAGTCATTTCCTCCTGCTTATGGAATACATACTATATATCCCCTTAACATAACCATATTTTCAGTAGGTACTGAGAGAAAAACCAATGTTTTCTCTCAGTACCTACTGATGGCAAAGGATGATGCTGAATGACATTTAATTGATGGTGTTTTAAAAAGTTCTAAATTAGGGAAAATAGTTACAAAATTATTTTCAAGGATATTAAAAACTAATAGTAGTTTGTAAAGTACAAGATTACTGAGTCGAACAGCCATGGTTTTCAAATAGCATTTCATAAATTTAAAATTTATAATCACAAACTAATTTGACATTTCAGAGCCCCAGTTTCCTCATCTTTAAAAAAGAAGGGGATAGATAATAACAAGTTAAACATCAAATATTGATGAATGCATGTAAAACACTGAATGCATCCCTTGGAGCTGACTGAATAATAAATGCTAGCCAATTACATTGTCACACAATTAAACAGGGAAATTCAGTAAAGATATTATAATAAAATCACCATAGCTCCTAAAATTCACAAATTAATGTTTGAATTTTAATAAGGATGAATATTAAATATCAGAAGTCATCCAAAAATGTGGATCAACACAAAAAAAGACAACTTCCTGTTATTGTGTTAGGCATGCAGTAGGTATTGTACCATAGGGTTTATGTGCACTGTTTACAACAAATCATGTTTATAGTATGTATTGTGTAGAGAGGAAAACCCAGACCTACAGAAGTTAGAAAAAATGCCTGTAGCCTTAGGACTAAGAAGTGGGAGAATTGGGATTTGAGTCCAGCTATATCTAACTTCAAAGCCTTTGATTTTAAAGAAGATTGTAAATTTATCATTGGTTTTCATTTATCCACATTGCTTCCTGTCACATTCAATCTAGATAAGCAATCAGAACATGGTCCTTGGTCTGGACTTCCACATTTTGCTTCAGTTACGGTATATAATGTCCAATAAAAAGAGTTTGTTGAGTACCCTGCCTAAATTGACAGTGGAATGCAAGAGGTCAAAATATGTGGGCTTTTGTAATTTTTCCTAAAGCAGAGACCAGATAGAGAAACTGGGACTCAGACAGTGCTGATGAGTTAAATAGTAATGAAAAAATGTCAGGGAGGTTCTAGAGACAAAGAGAATACTCTTTGGCTTGATGACCTAAATATCAAATTTCTTCATGACAGTTTATGAGTGAGTGATAGGAAAAGACATGTCAGCTGCACTGTCCAAGCAATAAAAACAAATTACCTTATTGTGGACAAAGGATTAGAATGGAGGACCTTATATGCTGACTTCTGGAATTCTTACTCCAAGAAGATTTGCCTGTTTTACATTGCTATAGGAAATAATAATAATAATAATAATAATAGATTATTTCCACCTATTTTTTCTCAGGTGTATTCTTATCCCCTCATCTTCAAGAATGATGAATTCCAAAACTCATGGCTTTGAGAAGATTAAACTTCACCTGTCAGAACAGATCTGTATACATAGTATAATCTCCCTAAAAACACGTGGCTTACAATAGAATTGTGTGTTAATTTAGGAAGAATCATGGACTCAAATTAGGAAGAGCTAATAACTTGTGGATAACAACTGACTTTAGCTTATCAATTTCTGTTTCCTCATCTGTATTGGCTTAGAGATTTAGAGTGAGAAAGGAGATACAAGGATGATAAATTAACATGTATACTTTCTATATAAATCCTGTGGCTATTTCTATATGTTCATATAGGTTATATTTTACTAGACAGAAGATTAAGATTATATCAAGTAATTCCACTCTTGAGTTTTATTTGCTGATGGTCAAAGAAGTCTCTGGCCCCAGAGTCCATCTGATAGAACGTCAGTACTTGGCAGTTGCCATCTACCTCTGAAGGGGCTCTGCTACCTTTACTTTCGGGATTCTTCACAAAGAAAAGTAGAAGTTAACAGGACATTGCAACTTCTCAGTCACCCAAGCCAATGTCATATTTGCATTTTCCTCTTCTCAATGTCACAGCCAAAGAATCACATCCTCACTACTCCAAGAATCTTTACATATGTCTTGCCTTCCTCCATCCTAATCCTAGTCCCCTTAGCTTTTCACAAGGATCTTCAAACTTGTCTTTAGATCTCTCAGTCTCATTGCTTTGGCTTGTCATCTCCTCACATTGCAAGCGATCATTAAAGAGAACTTGAAGAATATCATGATCACAAAGGTCATGGAAACTCTGGCTTAATATCCTTACAGATTCCCTGTGCCTTTAAGACACAGCACCAAATTCCTAGACATCATTATCAGACCCTACATAGGCTGACCACTTTTCCTTTCATCACTCCACCTCTCCGCCTTGTCCTGTGCTCTGGCTCCTCTGAGCTCCCTACTCTATGAACTGCCCATGAAACTGCTGCTGATCATGTTGTTCTTCTCCTAAAACCTTTACT